CTTAATAAACTTTACGTATAATGTCCAGGGTATCGAGAAAGATTGCTATTATTAGAGTTAGGGTAGGTTTAGGTTTAGGGTTAGGATTAGGGTTGACTCGGAGCTTCTATGTCTATCATATATATGGTTTCCTGGTAGTTGAACCACCCTTCAGAAATAGATCATTTAATCGGAGTTTATGCATGCGATATTGAGATTAACTGCTCCCAGCAATGTCTGATTTAGCACGAGTTGATAACAAATGACTCGCTGAGCTGTGTAAATTTGTGTAGTGATGCGAATGGGATATCAGTATACGTGAAAACTGCTTTAGCGGCCATCTTTTTATGATATAAATATTTGAAAGCAAAGACGAGATTCCAAAAAGCTTGAACCAATTTTCTTTTCCTCATTAGCTTATGCCGCTGTCGAAATATTCTCTAAGTTCATTGTACTAAATTTAGTACAGGAAAATTCTTGCAAAAGAGCGATGCATTCAAGACTACTTTGCACAGAACTTTTGTTATCAAACATTATCGATTTTTTGCCCAAGTGTAGACTCGAAACCAGTGTACATTCTAACATACTTTGAAGAAATTCAATTCTGTCATTGGCGTGAACGGCATTCCAACATACTGTACTAAATTTAGTACGATTCTCATACGGATACCCATTAATAATAATTGTTATTTTACAGACGATGCTGAAGATGAGAGTAGTAAGTTTGATGTGTATTAATGGAATGATAATAGATTAGACTATTCTGTGGTGTGAAAAAAAACGATTGTAACTAATGATTTCAAAGCTAACACGCTGCTACTCCAAGAGGTAATTGAGAGCATGGACAATAAATTTATCTTCTATTCCAAATTCCATCCTGAGTTAAATTTCATTGAGCAATAGTGGGGTGCTGCTAAACGATATACACAACTACATTGCGATCACACTTGCAACGGTTTAAAGGAAACTCTTCCATCTGCATTTGATTATATTTCTCTACAGACAACACGAAAATATGTACTAAGGTCCAAACAATTTATGGATTGCTATAGGAAGGGATTGGAGGCAGAATTTGCCATTAAAAAACATAGGAGTCATAGAACGGGTTTCTGAAACGATTTTTGAATATAGTTGATCATTGACATTTTCAGTAATGATTTCCCTTGAAAATTGAAACAATTTATACAAGATGTAAACAATAGCTAATTTAGTAATTCTTCGTTGCGGCAGTACAGAACCAAAACTAGTAATTTTACGTTTCGAATTTTGGTGGCAAGTCTCATTATTATATTATATAAGCAGAGCTTCCCTCATCATCAAATCCTCCTGTTGTTTGGTTCCATATGTTGTTTGAATAATTTGTTCTAATAATCCAAGGATTTGATCATATCCAAAGAAATAAAATTGTTGCGAATTCCTTTTGATACTTAATCATAAACTATCCTATATTTTTCTATCTTTCTATCATCGACGTTGAATATTGATACTTGAATCCGGATTGGAGTCTGAGATAGCTTAGCTTACAGACCATTCGCAGATACTTCGGTTAGCGATATATCCGTTGAAGCAAGATCCACCTGCAAGCAAGTCAATATTAATATTCGACATCGATTGTTCTATTTAACGCTTAATTAGTTATAATTTTAACTAGAAGTGACGAGATACCCCGACTAGTCAAAACACTAAATCGAAGACCGCCCTGTTTTAAATTAAATATAAATATTCCCCTTCGATTCTGTAGCAATATTGTGGTTGTAACGATATTGTTATAGGTACCTCTTACTTAGAGACGAGTATAGGATTTACTTCGTCTAGGGAGTTAGTAAAGCGCGCATATAAAATTAGTCACTTATAAATTTAGTTCAGTCGAAAAAACAATCGCTATTAGTAAGGGTAGCGATCTGAGTTAAATTTGGTAACATCCCCTGTCGGTGAACACATCTACGCGACAGATTATTGGCTCTCCCACCCAAATAATACACCAACCATAACAGATAGGTTACAATGATATATATGATAATGTCATAATATCATACGTTCACATTCATTAGTTGACTTGACAACAATTTCCTCATCTGTCATTTGTTCCTCACTCATAACTTTGATTATCAACCAGAATATACTCTTCTGCAGAAATATGTGATATTTGGTCAATGAGAACTATGATTTTAAATTCAATAGAAAAATCTTTTAAAGATAATGTTGAGAGACAGATGTTCAATAAATTTACATAAAATTGAATAGTTACTGAGTAACAATGATTTGAAAATATCTAATTTTTTTGTGACGCGCTGTAGTTACATAGTCACTCGTCATAATGATCCTAAGATGCAAGTTGGCCTAATATAAATGACTTCATATTATCGAGAGCGACTGTAATGTTAGTGGTTAAGATATTATTATGTCAGATAATAAATTGTAAAATCTGACGTATCAGCAATATTTTATGGCACGGTCGAAATTCAGGCAATTTAATATGTAACTACACGTAAATTTTTACTATGTATTAGCCAAACGGATTTTTGCCTATTGCTTTGGTTTAATCTGTTACAGATTGTAAATGCTGGTTTACCATTTTCGATTTTTCGCATAATGTCTTGCTAATGAATTAACTTCTACACAAAAGAGAAGCATTATTGCAACTAAAAAAGCATCTTTTTCGTTTGGATGTACTTAATAATACATAGATACGTTCTTTATTGTAATAAATTAATCAGTGTATTCTACCGGAAAATAACGAAATTGACGACATGAACGCCAATAATGAATAAAATAATCTATCATTATTTATGTAAAAAAAAGAGCCAAATAATGTCCCTAATACCAATGATTACACCTAAGTTACAAACACCTTATCAACAAAATGCCTGACAACATCCTTCCCGGTACTATAAAATCTTTTGTTTCTCACAACGATAGCCCCATGAGCATTCAGAGTGTCAATATAGACTGAATGTTTTTCCCATTTTAAATTATTCAAGTGCTTGAGTGCATCTTTCTGTGCTTGCAACAATAACAAAGGCTGGCAGTTACATGATTCAATCATATTGGAGAAGTCGCCAGTCGGCTTTCCGAGAGTTTCCCCTGCGCTTTCAGTAATTGGTGAAGTAGGCCCTGAAGGAAATAAGCTTTTGATATTCATCGCTGCTTCTATGCTCCCTTCTTCGATATCTGATGCTACTATTGAAAATGGTGATGCTTCGGATACACGTGCTACGTGTTTACCTTCACGCGTGCGAGTATTTATTATTTGCTGTACCCGTCGTCGAGAAATAGCTGACTGTACTGTTAGAGTGCTCAATGCGAAAGTAAGCCATATTGGAACAACAATAGGTGCTGCCACGCCGGCTATAATGTAACGGGGTACGTTCTTGGCTAGTGTCATTGTATCGACCGTCGATGATTCTTCTTTCAATTGTATTGATTCTATAATAGATGGCCAGTTTTTGTCTATTGTTCTGAAATACCAAGGATTTCGTATGATTAATGGGCAGAATTTGTGACAAAAAATCGCATGATTATTTGTACATTACATGTTAAGCTTGTCCATTTTGTCAAATGGATTGACGTCAACAATAGCAGCCGTCCAGAATGGTACTGTTCTGTCATTGTATGTATTTGCGTAAAGCTTACGATACTTGAAAATCGAAAGGGCTTTATAGAACACCTTGCCTGCAGTACAAAGCATATTTCGATCGGCGCAGATATCAGTTTGACGTCGGAAGAATTTGTTGTTATTGCTAAAGGGAATACCTTAAACGAAAAGGTTACCTGGATCCGCTAACACGTGGATAAGTGGTTTACCGTCTTCATATTTGTCAATCAACTGCAATTGCTCACCTTAATTTTAAAAGATAGATCGAATTAATATTAATAGCCTTATGTAGGAGTAACACAACGGTCGTGAATTTAGATATACCTTACCAGTCTTTGACAGTAAGTGTGAAGATATCCAGTTGAATACTTTGTTATAAGTCGTGTCATCTTCCCTGCGTATTCCTAAGTGAGGCGTTGCAAACGTAGTAAAGAGCTAACGACAATTGGTCAGTTGTGATCCAAATATATACTGCTATTATAGACAACTCCCCAAATTCTCTCAAAAAACTGTTGTATATTCTTACCAATGGCTCAACTTCCTTGAAAAAGCCATCATCATATAATGCACCGATTGCATAACGCGAGACTAAACCACCGAGCGAATAACCAATGATTGAGAATTTAGTAACTTTATAGTTTCTATCCTTTAGAACTTTATATTCTCCCATTATCTATAGAATAAAGTCATGACTGAGCCGTGCAATCTCGTCGAAAAAACACATTCAATCTTGACAAATCATACTTCTTCGGTGAGTCTCTCGCCACAAATGTCAACGCCGTCATATGTGTACTCGGACGTATTGCACTTGGCATTTAACTAAAATACGATAGACATTAGTACATCTGAATATAGTTAATAAAAATAATCAATAAAAACTTACGATATGTATTTGATCTCCATGTTTTTCATCCAACTGTTCTACAAAATATTCCAAGTGTCCTGGATTACCCCATAATCTATTAATTAGATAACCATTAGCACTAGCTATACATAATCAACGACGATTCGAGATTTATGAGAATAATATGGTTCATTTCAGTCATTTTAGTCTCATGTTATTTAGTATCAACTCACCCATGCACCCAAACAACAAAGTGAATTTCTTTCCCTCCTGCGTCTTCGTTTAGGTTCTCTATACCACGAGTCATTTTGAAGTCGATGTTCGTCTAATGATAAGAAAAATGGTGGCGGTCTGTCGGCTTTGCCGTATAAATTTGTCGGCGGTCCGTCGGCGGCCGCCTTATATTTATAAATGTTTATAAAATTTTATGTATTTATCGGCTATTATGTATAAATTATCCGTTATTTATGCAATGTAATGTTTGTGCATGACATGTGATACGACCAATGGGGATGTAAGCTGTACATATGATGCTCATGAAATTTTGACACTGTTCCGCTTAGTAGGAAACTGATAACCGAAATGTGGTATGCTAAAGTATATGACCCATTAAGTAAGAGAAATTACCTTAATTTGTAAGTTGATTGTCGACATAATTAAGGAAGAACTAATAAAACGTATGAATAAGCTGCGGGTAGTATCGATGGTACCGATACCATAGCTCACGACCACGCCGTTCAGAGAGCACAGGAAGCTGTCTGTAAGGAATTATGTTACCATTTATTGATATAGTCACAGTAACTCAGTTTACACATATCAATGTTCGCATTTAGACAAACCGCCCAGCACAAAAAATCCCAATATCACAAACGACCCGATTAATACAATTTTCGTTGGAAGACTCAATCCTCAAACAACAGAGGGCGAGTGTCAATTCAATTAATTAGCTGTTGTGACCTTTCCATTATATGGGTCACGAACGTTTTAACATTCGTTCTGCATACCCTAGATACCCTACGCGAAATATTTGAGAGGTTTGGAGCAATCAAAAAGCTTCGTCTGATACGAAACATAGGCAAGTAATCTGCTGTATTCTATGTTCACGCCCACGTCAAGCGTCTAATTTTGTTGACCTATTCTCCAGTGACTGGTGACTCGAGAGGATATGCATTCATCGAATACACTCACGAGAAGTCATGTCAAGATGCGTACAAGGTGATCATCTTGTGTGTTCTGTCGTCGTCGCCATGTTTTAAGTATTTATTGATTCTCAACGTAACGTCGAAATACTAGAATGCGAATAGAATGACACTTGATGATAAACAAATCCTTGTTGATTACGAGAGAAGTCATATGATGCAAGGTTGGGTTCCAAGGAGATTAGGAGGAGGATTTGGTGGCCGGAAAGAATCGGGCCAGCTACGATTTGGAGCCAGAGACAGACCGTTTAAACGACCCTTGTAAGTTTATAATTAACAAACTTATTCATACCCGAACGTACGCCATTCATTATAAATACATTGCATTATTAGTAAGGTAGCTGGAAATCAAAACATGCCCATAATATTACCGGAACAGCGTTATGATGATTGCTGGCGACGAGACTTTCTTCAATCGTCGAATCAGTCGCACAACCAATCCACCCGGTCAGTCTTCCAACAAGCGACCGCCTCTCACTTCTCGTCTATCTCGACCAATTCTATAAAGTTCCAACGAGGCGAGCATCATGTTGATAGTATCTCACAAAGAGGAGTGACAAACTCTGCCCATATACATGATCCAGCTATGGAACTGTTTCCAGATATCACGTTGAAAGATAAAGGTCATCGTTATCAGAAAAATCACAACCGCACAAGATCACGGTCTAGGTCTCCGTCAAGATCTTACCATAATCGAGACCATGGATATGCAAGACACACTAAATACAATAAGCGGTCGCCTGATCGGAGTCGTAGTCCTCGATCGCGAAAAAGGAACGATATTAGGGATCGGAACAGAGATGGGGATGGAGAGAAGGATAGGGAAAGAGAAAGGGGCAGGGAAATGAATAAGGACAATGACAGGGACAGGGACAGGGATAGAGATAGGGATAGGGATAGAGGCAAGGATAGGGAAAGGGAAAGGGAAAGGGAAAAAGAGAGAGGGAGGGATAGAGAACGAGGCAGGGAAAAGAAAAGGGATGATTACAGGGACAGAGAAAGAAACCGAGATCGAGGAAAAAGAGAGAGAAGTCGAGAACGAAAAAGGTACTAAGGATTAAGCCGACTACTGTAAATGAAGCAAAATGGAATCCTAGTTCCTGACGATGAAAAACATTATCCAAAATTAGTGTATCCTTGCATCAACATCTTTGATTCTCGTCTGATCAATTTGCGTTTTTGGTTAATGCTGAATATATTCTCTTGAGCTGAACGATCCTACTAAATATCATGGTTTACTTTGAGAAGATAGAAGTGTCACTGAGATGTAAAGGAAAGAAACTCTTTAAAACGTATATCGTGGACTCCATATCCTTTTTTATGTAATTTATCAAGATGCGTTCTCTTGGTGATTGGTTTGTCCAAGTGGTGTCAAATTACATAGATGCACATATGAAGTTTCTTCACAAACTCATTCACGATATTATAGTACATATGTATATATTTTCATAGAAATTGATATCCACGTACTTTGTAGCAGTTAACCAAGTTTGAGTACTAGTATGTTCCGTCAATTTAGAGTAATAGAGTCCGGGTAAACCATATAATAAGGGTATGAATTGGATCTCATTTCGCTTGCAAAATATGTCTAGCGTCAAGAAAATGTAGGGATTTACGTCTCATTGTAAACTAACATTTTAATAAAAATTAACCAAGTTTATAATTGCGGGGGGAAAGCCTGCATTCTTGAAACAGAATTAAAGAAACATTGATTGATTAGGGGAATATCATAGCTTCGGCTATGATCGATTCACTCACATCAGCCCTCATCATCACTTGCTTCCGTCACTTGTTTCGCTGGCAACCACCGGACTGGGTGTTTATTATACAGCGGCCATGAAGGGAAGACAAGCTGTAGCCCAGGATATATTAGTTAGTATAAATAGGTTTACATAAGATCCGAATCAATAATCACTTACCAAAGCGGATAGACCAATACCACCGGCAAATATCTCCATTGTTAAAAGCAAATCTTGGTAAATAAACCCAACAGCAAAACCAAGTATCTGATGAAACAAAAAGCAAAATTGTAAGCATATTCACAATGTTGATTGAGGTATATATTTCGACAGACAAACAACTTACAGCTCCACTAATAATCACGACATAGTAAATAACTTCAGCCAGCTTTTGTCCTTCAAAATCCTGTAGAACGCGCAATCGTTAAGTCGAGTGAAAAAACCTTGAATTTCGATCTGATAGTGGAAGACATACTATGTTCATTTGTAACCACGACATTTTTGAGAGAGCGATAAAGAAAAGAGTGTATCTTCATTCGCATTGGTGTCGTACAATATTGTATATCAAGATATTTAGAATCATGTGATCGCAAAATTTGTGTTTTGTTCTTTGACGTTGCACACATATAGATCGTATATAGGTAAAGTTTGACGTATCTATACACATACAGTATATTGGATGATTTAGATAGTAAAATTTCAACTGGCTGTTGCCATATTTTTTTAACCGAATAATCGTCGGCATAGAAAATTAATCCTTCTGGAAAAAAAAATCGGCGCTTTCAACCGTTACCGAAGCACGTAACTGCAGCACATCTCGGTTATGAGATGACAAATAATAGGCACAAAAAGAAAAATAATCCGACGAGCTCCCCGAGATTTATATTTATGCTATAAATTATCTCGTAAGAACATAAATCTGCGGTATATAAAAGACAACGTATTGGAAGAATAGATATAGGTGTTTAATCGAATTACAGATCTCATTTATATCACGCTTTGAGACCGAGTCACTGTAATCAAGGTATTTTGCGCACACAGTTTAGTAAGTTTATATTTCTAGATTCATCTAAGTACCAAATTATACAGTCAACCCTGCATTGCGCGGTTTTTTTCCCGCCCTCTCTAAATGCGCGCCCGTAATTTCACATGATTTGCATTGTACGATGCTTCGAGACCTGTCTTTATTGTAGGACAAACGAGACGATTGGCAAACAATGTGTTGTTACAAAACATTGTTGCCTACTGAAAGATCAAAGAACTGAATAGGAGTGTATGCCTGAATTAAACTCAATTTCTATCAGGCTAAGTGAATCGCAGATTTATCCCGAATCTTTGACTTAATTTCAGTAACAGACGGATAAAGAATTTCCTTATCATTGTGGAAGCAAAAGTTAATTAGCTTTTGTTAAGCTAAAGTCATCTTTGTCCGTCGTTAATAATAGACATTTAAAAAATTATCATTATTACTACAAAAGCTAACATAATCTGCCGTATTTTTATTCGAATTGCAGACTAAACCGTTCGTTCATTTCTGCAGCACAGCAAGACTCTAAAAAGTTGCTAAAATATGTGAGAGTGCTTGAACGTTACATTAATAACTTTTATCAAGTCACGGGAAACCAATAAAATGCTGACCCTCCGTCAATGCATCCACTCATTCCCGAGGTGCGTTGACTGCAATACCAATATCTAAATTTAAAGCCTGATTCTCAAGTCAGCAGGAAAAAAATAACTCTTGTTGCTTTAATCCCTAATCGCATGAAAACTCGATAAGTTGGCCCACCATGCATGACCCTTCACCCTAAGATGTCACGGGCCACAATCCTTCTATTGCATGTGACGATCTAAAATCATATATACGTGGGGGGGGGGGGCCTCACTAAAAATTGGATAATCATAAAATGCGCATGCTTTCATGTAACAAATGAAAAAAAAGTAGAGGCAAATTTGTCGAGAAACCATTTTTTGTAAACCATAGTAAAACGACTGGGAAAAAAAATGAGTCGTAAGAACTAACGATACTTTATTTTCGCTTCTTGAAAAAATGCGACTCAAATCCACGAAGAGTTGGTGAATGTAAAAGGGGAACAAGTATTGTCTATCAGCACAATTAGACTACATTCAAAGACGGGGAAGAAGAAATTAAAAAAAAGGGAAGAACAACTGTTCGTGACTTCATGATTTATCACGACAGGCGACGATCATAACGGAGTATCTCATAACGACGAGTGGTACTTTTCCCCCACTTACCATATAGTCCAGACCGTGCTCCTTGTGATTTTTTCTCATTCCCTCGAATCAAAAAGAATCGAAGGAAAAAAGATTTGATAAGGTCGAAAATTTAAAGCCTTCTCAACAGCATGATGCCCCGATCAAATTTGGAAATTGATGATAAAAATGGAAGTTATTTGGTGGGGGCATCCCTAAATTGGAAATTGTTTATTTTCGTATGAACATAACTCAAACTTTTGCCAGACATCTCAGATAGAGCAGTACATGGGATAGAACATCGAGAAAAATTTTTTTCATATTCATTGCAATGCCTAAGAAGCAAAAAACCCTCAGATTCTTTATTATACAAACATTCACAACGTATGCGGGTTTGATAATGTTGGAGGGTGTCCAGAATGGCTTCAGTAAATCGTTTAGTAAAATGTGCGACTGATCCTTGGCCAACACCAAATATTTGTTCTAGTTGGCGATATCGAATGATATTTTGGAAGTTGGGGTTAGATATCCCAGAGGATTTGCTAATCGTTGAATCACAATGCCAACTTGAATTTCAATGGGAGTTTGAGGTCGAAAGGATGTGGATAAATAGTTAGGATGTTGCTGTAGGATACTAAGCAGTCGATTGAACGTAGATCGCAAAATGCGAAAATGAGATTTAAAACTACTGTATTATTCTCGCTCTCGTTATTAAGATATGGAAATATGTCTGTCCAATAAGTCATTGTTTTTTGCCGAAGTAAACGAGGTGTACGATTAATCCTTGACATCGAATCAAACAGAAATGCTCATTCTATATCAATTAATCTTGCATCAAATTCTTATTTAGATTTTATTACTTCTGTTACTATGAAGGCAATAAGTCTTTTCCATAACATCAGTATAACAGTCTCATATGGAAGGGCGTTATTTATGCACATATGAATTTTATCACATTTATCTGCATAAAGGTAAATATGGTATTACTCTATTTAGAAAGCTGTTGAGAGCTGATGCCCCTACTTTGTACGACTTCCAATTTGATCAGGGCATTGAGAAGGCCCTTAGCAAGGAGTTGCTGAAACTATCCCAAAAGCTGACTATGAGAAGTCTCTCCAGAGTTGGCATAATCGTCTTCAACGTTGAATAGATGTTAATGGAGAGTACTTTGAGGGAATGAAATAGTTGTATCGATAATTATTATGAAATTTCTGGAATAAAGGTCCGCACATGCAAAACTTTTCAGCCCCCCCCTCACACATAGACGACGACGACAACAACACTAAGAAATTTTCTACCTATAGTGCAGGACATCTAAAACCGAAAATTTTGTTCTGCAGATCACTTATCGATCACATGACATTTACCCAATAAAATTCTCTGAAATAATAATACTTTATTTTGAAAATTACAACACTTTGTCAAATTCCGGGTCAAAATCGTCCCTGTGTAAGGAAAACTTTAATGTTGGACTCGGAAATCAATGTTGCAGATTGAACAGCACATACTTACCTATATAATGCATTTAAGAAAATTGATCGAACTAATTTGTTCGTAATTCCTCCCATGCATTTTCTGTGCGATTTACAGTCAAACCTCTTTATACCGATACGAGTGGCACGCGTCATTTCTATCGGTATAACCAGTTTATCGGTATAGCCGAAGAAAATCTTATATCATAATTAGTAAGCGGTTTCAAAGACTGTATCGGTATAACCAATTATCGGTATAAAAATATCGGTTTGACTGTATATTTTCTAGCAACGTATTCCGCTAACTTACTTGTAACTCGTGTCTATACAAATCCATATACTAATACCGCCACGTTTTTTTATGTGCGACTTTTCTTTTAGTAGGTCGAGGCATAGTAAAACAATAAAGAATGTTAACACGAGAACAATAATGCTAACTATTGGATAATGTAATATTACACAAAAGTTGTACAAACTGGATGTCCGAATTTTTCATTTTTCCTTAAGAAACTGTTGCTTTTCAAATGCCTAAAACTCGAAACTTTTTTAGTTGATTAAAAATTTTAAGCCCTAACTTTTATTCTGCTTCGTCTGCTCTATCATTCTAAACTCTCTAATATAAAAGCCTTAGTATTAGGGTTTTGAAAGTTGGGTATGTTATTTTGGGCTATAGATGTCCTGCACCATAATACTAGGAACTAATAAAAACTTATCTGACAGCCATTTGATATTGATTGGTAATTAATAAAAAACTGATTTGATCTATTTTTTATAAATGAAAACAAATAAAAAATTTGGTTGTATATAGTAATAGTATTTATATATTATAGTAAATTTTTGTTCAATTAACATTAGTATTAGTAGAGCTCCACCACTAATATTTCTCTAGCAAAGACAGCAGTGCAAGAGAAGAATGTAAAAAGGACCACACTAAAACAAATCTTTCCAAAGTCTGGGCTCTTTTACTATGGTATCATAGAAAAAATTGAGCAATAAGGAATGAAGTGCCAGAACTCCACTTTAACACTAGTTTATATTTAGAGATAAATTTGATTCAGAGCCTTTGCCAATGCTGTTGCTCCTGTATCTCCTATTTGATTCTGGTATAGATCTAGAGATATTAAAGAAGAATTTGATTCCAGAGCCTTTGCCAATGCTGTTGCTCCTGTATCTCCTATTTTATTTAATCTTAAATTTAAAGATGTTAAAGAAGAATTTGATTCCAGAGCTTTTGCCAATGCTGTTGCTCCTGTATCTCCTATTTTATTTAATCTTAAATTTAGAGATGTTAAAGAAGAATTTGATTTCAGAGCCTTTGCCAATGCTGTTGCTCCTGTATCTCCTATTTGATTAGAATCCAGATTTAAAGATGTTAAGGAAGAATTTAATTCCAGAGCCTTCGCCAATGCTGTTGCTCCTGTATCTCCTATTTGATTCTTTTGAAGATTTAGAAATGTTAAAGAAGAATTTGTATCTAACAAATAAAATTTTGCTCTCATATGTGTAATCTCATTGTAAACTAAATTCAAAGAAGATAATGAGAAATTTGATTCTAGAGCTTTTGCTAAAACTGTTGCTTCTGTGTTTCCAATTTGACATTCACTCAGATCTAGTGTGTATGTTGATGATGGGGTGATCAACAATTTGAGTAATCTATTTACTGTTTCACTTGATGGGCGTCCATTAGGGTCCTCATTCCAGCATTTGGAATATAGATCAATATATTGTTCAGAGGTTCCAGGAAATGGGGAATCACGAGAACCATTCAATCTATATAACAAAATTTCATAATTTGTGGTAACCCCTTCACAGGGAATTTTCCCACTTGAAATCTCCCAAAGTATCACTCCAAAGCTGAAGATATCTGATTGTTTCCCACGTTTATAAGATTTGTTCTTAAAAGATAATGGGTCAATGTATGCCATATTTCCTTCACCTTTTGATGTAGACATCTGTTTAAGAGTATTAGACAATCCAAAGTCTGTTATTTTTGTAATGCCTTCTTGGAGAAGAATATTTGATGAAGACTAATTCCAATGGATATAATAATAACAGTAAATTAGTAATTAGTTTGAATGTTAAATTATATATACTTGTTATATTAACATGCCCATTATAAAAAAAGCTGTGTATCAGCACATACCAAGTCCTTGTGAACAATGTCAAGTTTATGCAAATACAACAACCCATCACTAATCCCCAAAGCCAGCTTGTGTTTGTCCTCCCATGTCAGCTTAGGAAAGTATCTCTGTAAGTGTTCAAACAAGGTTCCACCGTCTGCATATTCAAACACCATGTGATAGGGGCCAGATAAATCTGCGAGTTTATAGAGTTGGATAAGTTATAATCGTTATGTACAGGAAAACATAATGTCAAATATTACTTGATGCACCTTGGCATATTCCTAAGAACCGAATAATGTTTGGATGATCATCCACTTGTTTATGAGTTCTCAGCTATATTATTATAATTCAGTTTATACAACTTTTAAACGCCATACAACAATTACGACGATAGGTAACTAGTGCCAACCTCTTTGACAAACCGTCTATATAATTCTTCTTCACATCCGTATCGATGAAGAAACAAAGTTTTCATTGCGACTAATATTCCAGAATGCTTTACCCGGGCTTTGTATACGACACCGTATCCTCCACTACCGATAGGCGTACGAGCCAGGATGTCATCTTCCGAATAGTGTTTGATAAATCCTTCCTGAATACTCTTAGCTAACCATTCTCTATGTGTGTTGTTAGACGATTGACCTTGGAACATATTTGGGGAGAATCAATAACGTTAGTGAAAACCAGATATGTGTCATACATATAAATCACATGACATCTGATAATCTGATAAACCAACAGTTCGTTCAGTTCTTCAAGATTTTAAATATAAATATCCTTTTGACAAGAGCTCCAAGAGCTAGTATTATCGGTTGGCATAATCTTTGTATTATCGGATGAAGACTATCAGCAATCTCGCAGGTTCGCTGCTCAGAAAAAAAAAGATTTCGGTGGACTGCATCTATTTAGCTGTATTAAGTGTAAAAACATATTTCAATAGTTAAATTAATTAAAATCATTTGATGAGTTATTGGCTTCCTTCAGTAACATATCTCTCCTTGGCCTTCTCCAACTCAACCGTTCGTCTCTTACATATTGCCATACTCTCATTCAATGACTTTGCCACAGTCATCACATATCAATTTTAGCGTATTGAACAATAAAGTTTTACAAATATTTTATTCAAAACGCAATTGTTAGTATTAGTATAAACCACATTTAAAAATCATAGACAAAGTCATTTAGGTAAGTCGTAAATAACGTTACTGTTATATTTAGTACAGCTCTTACATTGTTATTATCTCTAGAGTGCGAATATGCCAGCTGACTTAATGCATAAGCGTATCTAAACGTATGATCCCACCCTCTTTTCATGTAATTATAATTGTATTCGAGTATTTTAACGAGCGAAGATTACAATACCTAAACAGGTATGATTCTCAGAAGTAAAGAAATAGATATTCAAGAGGTTTGTAAATCTAATTATACATTCAGATTTATTCTTGTGCTCTAATTTTGTAGACGCAGTGTCAGACTTTGAGGATCTATTTGTTGATTATACTTCCCTTGGCAGAGTCAAGAGTCGTTGTAGAAATCTTCCGTCTTGTTTCTTTGTTTATTACTATCATAGTCTTAAACTTTTTAGACTGCTTGTCTGTATTGGTAAATTCGTTCAATTGGCTATATTAATATAGCAGAACTCTCTTTTCAGATGCAGATGATGAAAGAGGAAGCAAGTTGGGGAGGATGTGGATATGTATTCAAAGTTATGTAACACTATACATAATTTGTCGTCAGTACATCCAATCCCCTTAACAATAGAGACCTTGGAGCCTAGCCTGACTTTGGTTTGTTCGTATAGGCTTTTCTAGCCATGCTGTGGCAAACTATCGAAGGCATCCAATTTGTAGTAGAGCCACTTCCCGAACCGTATTTCACGGTGAAATAGTCATGTTATGAAACGTTTGCGCAATTGACTCTTTAAGTATGAGCGTATGGCAAGTGTCGGCTTTTTTGCGGAGATAACACGTTACGTACGTACCTATGGCATATGTGATATACAAAAAATTTTGTTACAAGTATTGCCCAATCTGAATATTAGCCAGTCATCACTGTCTCGGTTCGTTGCAAGCCAATCAGAATTATCTTTCGGAACGTAAACATCGCTTTTAAGTAACATTGTTGCTGTTTTATTTTCTACTTTAACTTCAAGTATGTGAACAGTGGTTGAACAAGAATTGCTATTTTGTATTCGGATTTAGATGGTTGTTTTGAAGCGGTTGTATATTGTATATATCGGGAAGATAGTCTGGGCGTTTTCATACGTATGATAAACTATCATGTGAATTTCTAACTGTATCCCAAATTACTATAAAGATAATAAATAGGACGTGTTACATATGTATATAGAATTGTCAACTTGATAATTCATCCAGATTTTCTTCAACAACGATCAATATTAGAAGAAGCTATTATTGAAAGAGGACATATATTTGAACGATACCCAAAATTCCATTGCGGAATGCACCTTCAAAGAACGATGTAAAACGAGAAATTAGACGCCTTTGTAACTATAGTTATGCCGACTTACAGAGACAACTTCCTGAATTTCTATTAGTATATCTACGACCACGATTTGCAAGTTTGTCCGTAAGTCATAGATGTACACGACAAGTGATTAAAGGGTAGGGCCGCAGAAACGGAAAGGGCTGTTACTAAGTTTAAAATCACATCGTAAATTACCCCCAAAGTGTTGAAAGTCATGAAAATAAAAACGTAATTAAAATTTCGTAGTTTCATTGGAATATCGTCCGTCGCCAAGAAAATTGAATTTCTCATTATTCTCCAGTTGATAATATCAACTTATCCCTGTATCCATTGTTGTCGAGTTATGACTCCCGGCACCATATTAATATGAGAGTAACTCTATTGCAACAGGAAATGAGACAACAACGTCAACATATAATGATACAGATGCTGTTGCCGCCACAGGGATAATTTTATTATGCTCAAGTTACGACATCTTTATCTCTTACGATTATTTTTCAAATAAAAATATTATTATGTGAATGTATTATTATACGTATGACCGTGCTTGGGCCGCAAAGTGTTCTTCTTTATTGATAATTATGTTTTTTGCTTGGATGTTACGTAGACCACAATAATTTTATTCTATAAATCAAATTTCTAATGAATCTGGCATGCAAAAAAACCTGTCTTGTCAGAACCAAATATTGCATTGGAAAAGTAATCCCCTAACAAAAATACGCTTAATATCTATCATGGTCTTTATTTTTGTTTCGACTCATTAATTATTAATGGCAACGTGACGATGTAAGTATCTGGATTTTGGAAGACATATAAAGTAAACACTGCTTTGAATGCCCTGCTTAAGCTTGTAAACTAGTCGCGGAATGCGCCATTTGTTGGTGGAGAGATATGTACGCATAAGAAGACACTGTCAGTCATGGCACTCCCGTTTCATTTAGAGTGATATATTTGGAGAGGAGTATTCAGAGCGACCTCACGATTACTTCTAGCGTTTACGCCAGTATGTAGTAATTCATTTTCAACTATTGCTGTACTTTCGCTTATAAGTTCTGTCTAACAGTATCCGATCATTTGAACTTGTACGAAGGGGCAATTTTCCTTTTAGTAATCAATGCTTCGGGCTGAAGATATTGTTGTCGATCATCAATGCGTGTCAATTGGAGTTCATTAAATTGTACAGGGCATGGCGATTCTACTATTGATTAGAGGAAAGCAAGTTTAATAATAAACTTCTACAAGAACTGATACTGTATAACATTGTATTAACAAGCGACAATAAAACAATTGTTCTTAAATCTGAATCTTACAAGTATACCAGAAATATTGTTGATATTATACGAAACAAATATGATATACTTATGGACACTAAAGATCTTTCTCATGAAGAATATGTCAATTTGACGGGATTTCTTGAATATGATCAAGTAGACAAACAGTATTTGCTTTATAAACGATGTTAAATATGACATAGTATACGCGCATCAGAAAGTAAATTGGCATGGTCTTTTATACGGACGCGTCGGCAGCCTAATGTAAAATATCCAAGGCGTTGGAGTAAAGAACTTGAAACACATACTGAAAATAATTCTCGTTCAGCGCCCTTCAAAGTAAAAATTTTTAGTCTTGAATAATTAATACATGTTGACTCTGTCTATAGTAATAGGATCCTACATACATGGTCCCATATAGATCTCTGCCAACGAGTGTCTTTTCTACTTTCCCCTTTCTTCTGTTTTTACTTCCTTCTATCTGTCTCTTCTTTTTTTTCCCTCGTTTTTCTCTTTTTCATTTCGTTTGGCTTGTGATTAAAAATACGTGAATATTGGCGTCAATAAACTAATCGCATGTTGCGCATGCAAGACAAATGTATACTGCTTGATATTCTGATCTGATTTTTCGACAGTTACGGATTCGACATTAATTCTATAACTGGCCTTTATGTTCTTGAAAATAACCAATACTCGTGACATTTTTTTTGGAAATGGAAATAAACATTTTTTTAGACATATTAATATCACTTTGTAGATTACCAATGAGAGAGTTCGTTTCGGTACTCGATAAAATCCATTGCCGATGGCCAATAATGTATGGACGTCATTTATCCGCTGGTCTATTGTGACAACTCTGACTCATTATGCCGTTATTCACAATACAGGGGTTAGTCGGAGACTTTTGAGGTACCGCACTCGCTATTTGTCACTCTTAAATTGTCTGCTTTCACCGCGCAATATGGCAATGACTGTCAAAGTTGATTCTTACAAGTACCTTTCAGGATTTGGAAACCATTTTTCTTCTGAAGCGCTAGAAGGCGCTCTACCGCAAGGTAGTATCTCTAAGAAGTGTAATTCGTTAACAAAGTCTTTAAAAAACACTGACATTGTTATCAATGTGAAATAAACCAAAGGTCAGAATGCTCCCCAGAAATGCCCTTACGGTCTATACGCCGAGCAGCTATCCGGAACGGCTTTTACAGTGGATCGGCGACATAACCAGCGCAGGTTGCGACAAGACGCAAGTCAAAGGGTAGCTGTGCACCAGGCGTATTATCGACACTTATAGTGATTAGTGTGCATTCCTCATGCATTCCTTATGCATGCACGCCTGTGTATAGCTACCGGCAACAAACATATTAATTTGCGAATTGTTTTTGCACATCCCTATTTTGATCTAACATTTATTCTCTTGCCATCTTTCTTTTCACCGCCCTTTTGTCGGATCGCTACCCACATGAATCAATCAATCGCCGCTTACCCTTAAATCTCAATGTCTTGCATCAGTTGGCTCTACCGCATCCGTCCTTCCGTAGCCCACTTGCCTTACGCTTTCTACAAAAAAATTCACCCTAACTTTGCGTCTTCCGAAATGCAATATATCCCTAATCAGCTGCGATGGAGTCCGTTTCAGTTACCAGCAGACGACAGCCCGGTTGATTTTCTTCATGGTTTGGTGACGATTGCAGGTGCCGGAGATCCGACTGTGAAAAACGGCTTGGCAGTACATATCTATGCTTGTAATAAAAGTATGGAGAAGAGGGCGATGTATAACTCTGACGGCGACTTTTTGATTGGTATGGTATCGGAAATAAGGATTTATTGTTTTTTTGATCTGATCGCACAGGCGCGATGCTTTCAAGTATAATTATGAACATTGTATTGACAGTAGATCTATTTATCTTGTAGTCCCTCAGACAGGAAGACTAGATATTACAACAGAGTTTGGTAAAATGATGGTGGAACCGTTGGAGATAGTCGTGATTCCAAGAGGAATTAAATTTTCCGTGCATCTCCCACAAACACATGCGTAAGTCATTGAGACATTTCTTTTCGGTGCGGCACATGAAACAGATAAATTCATCACTCACGATGCGTCTCAACATTAGACGCGGATATATTTTAGAAGTGTTTGGAGATCACTTTGAATTGCCCGACTTGGGGCCAATAGGTAATTACAAGATTAATCGTTAATATCGTCTTTGCCATTACGTGTTTTGAACTTTTATTTACCCTAAATAAGGTGCAAATGGCTTGGCGAATCCGAGAGATTTTTTAACTCCAGAAGCTGCATTCGAGGATAAAGACGAAACGTGGAAAATATTTAATAAATATGCTGGGCAATTGTTTATAGCAAATCAGGTAATATTTTTTAGATTGAATTCATTAATATAAATTATAGATTTACTAAAATATTTTGAATAGGGTCATTCTCCGTTCGATGTAGTCGCGTGGCATGGAAACTACGTTCCGTATACGTATGATCTCAGGAAGTTCAATGCCGTGAATTCTGTAACGTTCGATCATATGGTGAGTCAACCAAATGATGCACATAATGCTTGGGAATTACCTTGCGTTTTTGCGGATATATTTTCCCGGGAAGCCAATTCACGGTTTTTCTACCTACAAATATCGGGTCATAGGATCCATCAATATTCACAGTCCTTACATCCAAATCTGCTTTTCCCGGCACAGCAATAGCGGATTTTGTCATATTCCCTCCGCGTTGGTCGGTACAGGAACATACGGTAATGATTCTGTGGCATGAACAGATGTCTCGAATTTTAGTTTCGTGTCATGCTCTCATAATATGCTATTCTCTAGTTTCGCCCTCCATACTTTCACCGTAATTGTATGACTGAATTCATGGGTTTAATTACTGGTCAATATGAAGCTAAGGCTAAAGGATTTCTACCCGGTGGTGCAAGGTACGTGCAAAAGTTCGGATACGCTTAATGAGATTCTGAAATTAACTATTTGGATACTTAGTCTTCATAGCCACATGACTCCTCATGGCCCAGATGCTGATACTTTTGAAAAGGCAAGTAATGAGAAACTGGTACCTGCTCGCGTTGCTGATAATACAATGGGTAAGTAAATAGATTACTTAAACATGAAAGTGATCAAGCATATCTTTCAGAAACATTAACATTCGAGTGAATTTATTTGTCAAGCGTTTATGTTTGAATCTTCTTTGATGCTCGGAACAACACCATGGGCATTATCGACGGAAGTATTACAATCCGATTACGAACAAATATGGAGTGGATTGAAGAGTCATTTCAGGACGAACAAGTGATTCGGTTTCTGCAGTAAAGTTTACTAATCCAGTTTGTGACCAGTCAAAGGCTATTTCAGAATTTGAACTTTAAACGATTTTAAAGGCTATTCAAATTTCCAAGGGATATTCTATTCAGTGGTCTTTGTGGCGGGCAGCCACTTTGATTCAGAACAATAACAATCAAGCTAGTACCATGTAGAGCTTCTTTGATCGAATAATAATCTGGCGTTCACGTATACAATTAATGGCTGAACCTTTATAGTGCCAGAAAACATGCTGGCACATTTTTTACAATTTTAACTGGTTAGAATAACGCGTGCGTAAATAGACAGAGATTCCCTCAACTATGTTACCTGTGTTTCAAACTATTGATCAGAGTTCTTGTAATGACAGGGGAAAATTGATGCAGATAATTATCCTTATAATCGGTGCGTAAACGATTGATCTGTCACTCACCAAAGGAATTCGCGACTCTTGAGAGGAATCAGTCATTTAATCTTTCCTTGTAAATGTTGGTCATCTTCTTGTTGACATAATGGTTTACGAATTTATGTATTTTAATTGACCTGCTTGAAACGGTTAATATAATCTTAATCACATGACATACTAATACGCAAACTGTAAACATTGACCTGTTATTTTCGTCATTATTATTATCTAAACGGTACTAGTGTTTTGCCATACCAGACTATTGGTTGAGCAATTTGGCATATAATGTGTTGATCTGGAAACACTATTTCTCACAGCGCGAACAAATTCTGCGTAATCATATCTGATAAATGAACGCCCACTATATTTTTCCCAGAAAGAAACTAAAAAATGCCGACTCAAGCAGAAGTTGATGTTTTGAAAGCGAAATATGCAGTCGCTCAGCAGGAGCAGGTCTTCACCTTTTACGACTCGCTCTCGCCCGAAGAACAAGCCGTTTTATACGACCAACTTTTTAAATTAGACGTAGATCGCGTTAACCGCATTTACAAAAAGGCTGTTTCCAGTCTCGAATCCTCTACCATCAATCTGAGCATATCTCCCCTTCCTGACGATTGTTTCGACTCTGTCCTGGATGCTACCGAATCGAAACAAAAAGAGTGGGAATCGATCGGATTAAAATCGATTTCCGAGAATAAAGTCGCCGTGATTTTGATGGCTGGTGGACAAGGGACCAGATTGGGTTCATCAGCACCTAAAGGCTGCTACGATATTGGATTGCCATCACATAAATCACTGTTCCAGTTGCAGGCCGAAAGGATTTTGCGATTACAAAAAATTGCCAAGGACACTACTGGCACGCAAGGAGAGGTGGTTATTTCATGGTATGTTATGACGAGTGGGCCAACGAGGGCTGCGACGGAAGCATTCTTTCAGAGTCATGGATACTTTGGATTGAAAGAAGAAAATGTTATTGTCTTTGAGCAAGGTGTGTAGGAAGCTTGGGGTTGACATTGTAGTCGTGAACAATTCGCTCTATACAATTGGTATATAATTTACATATTGCTAACAAACAAGCTTGATTGTTCTTTCTTTCTACTTCAGGAACACTCCCGGCTCTTACCGATAAGGGCAAAATTTTCTTAGAAACAAAATCCAAGGTGTTACATATTTTCCTATTTTGTAGAGCCTTCCCTTGTTTTGCTTAAACTAACTGGATTCATTTTCCAACTCTTGCTTTAGCTCGCTGTGGCACCAGATGGCAATGGTGGTATCTATGCTGCCCTTCGTAATGAGAATGTTCTCACCGACCTCGCTTCTCGTGGTATTCTCTACGTACACGCATACTGCGTTGACAATTGTCTCGTTCGCGTAGCAGATCCTGTATTTATTGGTTATAGCATCTCTAAAAATGCTGACTGTAGTGCTAAAGTTGTCAGAAAGGCCTATCCTGAGGAACCCGTTGGAGTGATAGCGTTGAGGAATGGTAAATTCAATGTAGTTGAGTATAGTGAATTCGATCCTACCTTGGCGGCTTTGGCTAAAGCTAATGGCCAATTGGAATATGGAGCTGCAAATATCGCCAATCATTTCTATACAGTGGCTTTTCTAAAAAGCGTCGAACGGTTTGAGGGTGAATTGGAATATCATATTGCTAGGAAAAAGATCAAACATGTTGATTTGACGACTGGAGAGTTGCAGTCACCAATCAAACCAAATGGTATGAAGATGGAATTATTTGTGTTTGACGTGTTTCCGTTCACTGAGCGTATGGCCGTGTTGGAGGTTGATCGCAAGGATGACTTTTCTCCCTTGAAGAATGCACCGGGTACGGGAGTCGATGATCCGGATACTAGTAGAAGGGACATTATTAGCCAGCATGTGAGGTTCGTTGAGAAAGCAGGAGGTAAAGTTGTAGCCGGAGATGGAGAGACACAGGATAAGTTGACGTTCGAGATAAGTCCCTTGGTTAGTTACTCTGGTGAGGGATTGGAGGGATTGAAAGGAAAAACTATCCGGACACCAGCAGTCATTGAGACTGTGGGCGATATCGAGAAAGTTGTTATTTCATAAGTGTTAGATTTTAATTGTAGGATATGTAGAGCTTTCCCGAGCTGTTGCTCATAACTTAAACATTTACTTGCTGTAACAAGAAATAAAATTTCTGTCACGAATACGAAATGTTCGATTATTTTGGTGCAAAAGCGTAGATGCAATAACAACAATGGTGTATGGAATCTACTGATTTGGGTCCCGCTAAGCAACCTCCCAATAAATCAACAATTGGAAATGTCAACGAAACCCTCTATTATCTTCACGGTCCCTGACTATCTATTTTTTAATGCCTACAGGGATAGCAAAAAATGGGCATAGATATTGGCTCTTCGTCTGACGATAATCAAGTCTCCTTATCATAATATCATCAAGTCTAAGAGTGATTATTCCTGCAATAGGCGAATTGCTAAAAACGAATTAATAATTGGTCAACGTCATTATTTAGTCAAAGTCAAATTTGAGTCATAACACAAAACGATACTGGACGCGATTATTATTTGAGCGTAAAAATTTTGTGTCGTGTTGAAGAGTTGACGTGTCGAGGTGTTATAAGGTGTGCCATTTATGTTTTATTAATAGTACATTTAATAGTTGGGTCACTCATACGCCAAGAAATATTTGATCTAGAATTTATATAGAATTAATAATACCACAAACATTAAGCACAGATATTGATACAAATACATTCAAGACATTACCGGAATAATTAAAAACGGGTGGGTAATATAGACGCAGCAATGTTTAAAGACCGGCTAACTGCTTATGGGTGTAATAATCAACTACCAACAATTACAACACGATACTCTCTCGTACATATTTGTGCTATAATTATTCCATCAAGCAGTACGCGTAGTCAATTCATTGATAAATTTAACTAGCCAGCTAGGTTCCTGGAGATGATGTTGCTAGAGAGCTTCCGATAAATACCTTAACATCTTCAAGATGGGTTTGTAACCATATCCTCAATTTAATCCACAGCGCTATTAATGGCATCACTTGTTTAGAGTGACGTTGAAGATATGTCTATTAAATTTAGTTCATCAGTGATATCCGAAAAAGAGTGTGTGATAATCATGCAGATGTAAATCCGGGTTTGAGATTCTAGCCTGCGAAGTGCGGGCTTTTCGAGTTATAGTAAGGACATAAGCTTTTCAAAGTCCCAATTTTTTTTTCTAATAAAATTTCCCGGAAGTTAACGTAAACTTTCGTGGATAAGGGCACACTCCCTCTGTAAGAAATTTTTTCTCCCCTGCCGAACAAGCGATTCTATCTTCCAGGAAAAGTTTGACAGGGAAGCCCTTATTCACAAAGTTTAAAATCGATCAGTTAATAATAATAATAACTTTTAGGGTAAATCGTGTTTCGATCCCTGTAATTTTATTGGTTGACATACGAATTTGACCAATGCAATTGCTCTTCCTCCATTAATATAAATAATGATGCATGACATAATTCTTGTCATATGAAATTTTCAGCCCGTGGGTTTGATGTAAATAACTTTTCTAACACGTGCTGATATTCAATCAGACGAGATAGAAGAGTACAGAGATATCGAGAACATTATTCAAGAGATGTAGATCATATCGTTCAAACCAATATAGAATTAGCACCGCAAACTACTCTTGCGGAATACTTGACATTCGATTTTGCATACAATAAAGTACGGATTCAGACGGGATTACGTAATATTAGATCACTTTGAAAAGAGTGACTCGAAGCTAGCATCATAAACGATAAGGTGTTTTATTTTTAATAATACAGTTAAATCGTTTGCTAGCAACCTGAAGCAGTTTCAGCGATAGGGAATATATACGTGGCCTTCAACATTAGCTAAAGCATTAATTGAAGCGTTAGCAAGGTCGTTTTGGGAATATCCCCATGACCACAACGCTCTCCCACGCATAAATCAATCAATATGATCAACAAGACGTATTGTTTTACGTTATAAAATTTTGTGGTACAAATACGTGTAACATCGCATTTTTTTAATATATATTCTCTTTTTGTTTTTATTTACAAAAAAAAAGAGAATTATAATCAACTTTGGTTTCAAAAATACACAATCTTTCACTTAATCATGTCCGTGGTCTGCAGAGATTTGCTACGTTTGTTGGATAGCGAAAAGAATTACGATGTCCTTCTCTGCGTGGGTGAGGAAGGACATACAAAAGAGTTCAAGGCACATTCGCTCATTCTATGTGCACGTTCGACTTATTTTGCTGCTGCTTTCGGTGAAGAATGGGCAAAGAAAGAAGATAATAAGTATATTCTCAACAAACCAAATGTGACTCCTGCCACTATGGATTTCATTCTGAGGTTTGTCGTCGCACAATAATAAGGAAACCGAGACTGGTTTATAATAATCGGGAAATTATCCGACAGCGAAATATTTTCTTTTTTAGAATAGTATAATCTGCAAATTGGGTGAGGAAATAGTTTCGATGTGTAGTATGGATAAATTCCCGATTATAACTGTTTTGCAATAATTGCTTAAGTTAAACAATTAATTTATCTATAGATATTTGTACGGTGGCGTGGTCGATTTTGGGTCCCAACGTGCATCAGTTGTTCTTGATGTATTGATGGCTACAGACGAGTTGGAATTATTGGAACTATTGAATGATGCACAGCTGTACATTATAGAGAAGAAAGATGAATTCTTAAACGATAATCCGGTTAAAATTCTTAGGAAAATCTGGCTCCACGAAGCTTTTATTCCATTACGTAATATTTGCATCGACATCATATGTAAACAGCCCAGTATTCTGTTTGACTGTGATGAATTTTGTAAAATACCGGAATCCATCTTAATGCACTTTCTTCAAAGAGATGACTTGGACTTACCGGAAGTATTCATCTGGCGCAGTATTCTAGAATGGGGCGTAGCACAAAATCACGAGTTAACTTCGGTGAATAATTCCAGTAACTGGACGAAGGATGATTTTGTAACCTTGGAAAAAACGTTGCATCAATGTCTTCGTCATGTTAGATATCATTCTTTTCAGCCACAAGAATTTTGTGAGAGCGTCATGCCGTACAAAAAATTGATACCTAAAGATATTAGAGCCGATATCATTCGCTATTATATGGTTCCAGAAAAGAATACGCCTCAATGGAAGCATCGATCAGGCACGAAAGATCATAGTATAAAAATCGACTCTCTCGTCATAAAAGTAACACAACTTGATTTAATTTCCTTGTGGATCGACACAAACCAATATTTTGCGCATAAGAGATTTCGATACGAATTATTGCTTCGAGGTACAAGAGATGGCTTTGATAATGCCACATTCCATAATCTCTGTGACTATAAGGGGCCAACGCTGATTGTCTGTAAGCCTAGCTCGGGTAATGCAATCATCGGAGGTTACAATCCTTTGGATTGGACCTCCAACGGGACATACGGAAACACCGACAGAAGTTTTTTGTTTCATATCAAAGATATTAATGACCTCAATTCCGCGCAGATCGCTCGTGTCACTAATAACGTATACGCTGTGTATTATTGTGCTTCGTATGGTCCATGTTTTGGTTGTGCATCAGACTTAGTTACAAGCAATACTAATTGGTCATCAAGCACTAGTTGTTATCCCAGTATAGGAATACCTAATAGTTTTACTATCCAAGAATATGAAGTTTTTAAAGTGATTAGCTAAGAGAGTTGGCTACAGAGTAACAAAATACAAAATTTTGAATTAGCTTGATCTATTATCTTTGTCTTCTATCAAAGTTATTAAAAGTTCCATAGAATGTTGGCAGAGGAAGCGGGTTACATCGTTTGGCTTTATAAGATATTAAATTCTGCATTTTATCATGAAAATTGATCTTTTCCAATAAATTGTAGGTCACTGAGTCTTTGAAAGCCCGTTGGTGAAGAGCGTTTGAGTGCGGATTATTGTATATGTCGTGCATAAATCCCAAATCACGTATAATGCCTTCCACCGTATAAATCCCGTCAAAGTACCCCAAAATTGAGAAGGGTCCCTGAAAGATTTTTTATCTCAATTGGCGGATGTGACAAACGCTATGAGTTGTGTAATACAAGACGTACTGTAATAATAATAGCAATAACCCTTGTGTTTTACCACCAAGCATAAGCTATTTTCACTTTCTTATTAATATAATATAAAGCCCTGTTTCTGATGTTACCAATTCCTTTGTTGTATTGTCGTTATTATTATTATTATCATTGTTGTCTATAACTGCCGTTCTTTTTATTAACGGCCCATTATCTAATATTAAATTCTCGTTGCTATTATGACCGTTGTTACAAAATCTCAAATTATATGTAACTTTGTCGGCCCAGGATTGTTATGTAAGAATAATTAACATTCTCGCTGTTACTATGATCGATGTTTAACCATTTGTAACTTTCGTTCTGCGTCATCCTTTATTTCCTATCACAATGTCGAAGGCAAATGTAAGTCGCCCAAACCCTAGACCGCCCGATAGTTTGAAGAGCCAATGTACGGAGACAAACTTTTTTGAAAACAGCAAATTTATAGTCCCATGGAATAGGCTTAGAGTAATGTGGATTATGTATTTTTGGTTACAAAAGAATTTCCCGACGGAGGGTGTAAACGATGCTTTAAGAATGTGTGAATGTCATAAAAACAATCCTGGAATAAACAAAGAGGAAATGGACAAGTGGATTTCTAAGATGGACGAATGAAGCCGAGAGTTTAGCTCAGGAAATTGAAGAACCCGGTAATTACATTTAAGATTAACATTAAATACTAAACAAGAATGCGAAATTTATGGTCACGCAGAAAATCATATTTTTATATACTGCACATTTGTACTAAACTTGCATTTATTAACGTAGAAGAAAACGCTGACGAATTTTCTGAAGAAGAAGTAGTAGCTGCTACACCCCGTACCCATCCACCAACTATTTTTATATAATTATTTTTGAATTCTGTTCAATACTAATATATTGATTTACAATCAATAGAACTCGGCATGCAGAATTAAGGGAGATAGCTGAACCGAACACTAAAAAGGCACGTCTGGATATTCGCCTCTCAAAAGGAAAATCAGTCGACAGAGATTTTCAAGTTGGATATATAGTCATTGCTCTAATTCCACGTATCGAATGGATCGGCTATTACTACCTTGCAAGATACTTAACCTCTTTTGTAACCCTATCCTCAATTTAATCCATATGGCATCACTTGTTTAGAGTGACGTTCGGAGGCATGTCCCCTAATTAGTAAGGACATAGGCTTTTCGATGTCCCGAATTTTATTTTCTAATAAAGGTTAACGTAAACTCTCGTGAATAACTGTAAATTTTTTTCTCCCCTGCTTTTCAAACGATTCTATCTCCCAGAAAAAATTTGACAAGGAAGCCGTTAAAATCGACCAGTTAATAATAATAACTTTGTCTCATTTTACGGTAAATCGTGTTTCGATCCCTGTAATTTTATTGGTTGACATACGAATTTGACCAATGCAATTGCTCTTCCTCCATTAATATAAATAATGATGCATGACATAATTCATATAAATAACTTTTCTAACAATATATCATCCTGGACACTCAATCAGTTTTCACTTCAGTTCGCAGATACTGTATCTGCCAATAGACGAGATATTAGAGTACAGAGATATCGACAGAATGCAGACATACACTACCTGGACAAAAGTATCGGTCACCCTAACTTTATTAATTGCTCAAAAGTGTACATAATAATTAAAACTAAAATTTTTATATGTTATAGTCTAACTTGTTATAAAACGTGCATATACTTTTTACGCGCTGTTTATATTTATTTCTTCTGTAAGCATTATAATAAACTGAATCAATTAATTTTAATCTTTACTTTGAAAATGTCTGACCTAACGTGCCAAATTATTGGGCTTTTTAAAAGTGGCGCTACAAAAACGAGCATTCTAAGACGCTTGGCTTTCCTAGAACAACAGTAACACGAACAATTCAAAATTTTCTCGAAAAAAAAAAAGTCTCACAACCCAACCACGCAGTGGCCACCCAAAACGTTTAAATTTTGAGCATAACCAAGTATTAAACCGGGTTGTTATCGCAGTTTTCAAAATTATAGAAAATCCTGATCTTCATACGTACACAGGCGAAAATTCGAAAATTTCAATTGACCAATCAAATGCGTACACCGTCATATTAATGATATATATTAGGAGAGTTGAAGAGGCTGATTTCTTATGACAAAATTCAATCGATTCTGACAGTTTCTGTTTGGTAAAAGTGTCTTTATTATAAAAT